CTTTGTCCTTGATTGTCTGCTGAAGTCTATCTAGCACACACACACACACACACACACACACACACACACACACACACACACACACTCTCTCTCTTAAAAAGAAATCCATCTTCCTTTTCAAAAGCCAAAGAAAAGTGGCTCACCCCAGCTTTTAAATGTCACGTTTCCTCCCTGAAAACAGACTCCCACTCTCTCCTGCTTTGACAGCTGAATGGCGACTAGTTACCACACACCGATTTGTAAATAGCTTTGAGGAGAACCGCTGACAATGTGTTTTTAACCGAAATGAAGCTGTAATTTCTCTCTTTAATGTTTTATATATTTTTTTTAACAATGTACAAATGGCAGAAAAAGAAGACCTGTAGGAACTCTCCCTGACCCCCCCACTGAGTACGCACACTACAGGGTATTTGTATCACAACATAGTGACGTGCCACAGGTTTAGGATGTGAAGGTCGGCTGGTGTTTGTGTTGAGGTGATGGAGGGGGGTGCATCATGTAATAGTTGTATTAAAATGACTGACAGCAGAGAATGAGATTATATGGATGATAATCTGAAACTTTAAGATGAAAACCTTTTTAACAGACACAGACGTCACACGAGTATTGACCCAGAGTAAACAAGGATTTATTTTTATTATTATTTTTTAATGCAGATGTATGAGACATGCAGAGGGCTGGTGCGAACATCAAAGATCAGATGAATGCATTTGGAAATGAAAACTGTGGTACAATCCAGGCATTTCTCATTCTTTTGTAGGAGTTCAGTCATATCTTCAGATTTCATGCCACGTCTCACTTTATCTTCCCAGTAGATGCTGCTCTTTCACAAACCCTTATCTGCAGTATCGTAAAATAATACAGCGGTTCAGCTCGCGTACAGTCTCGGCCTGTTTCTATGTGTGTCTGGACAGAAATATGTGCCAAATTAAAGGAAAACAGTTTGTATCCTTATGGGAGGTAAAAGAACTTGATGTTAGTGTTTTAATCGTCTATATCGTAGAGCGAGAGGGTGGAAAAAAACATCTCAAACACTGTTTGATAAAATCTTTGTTTTATTTCAGAATATGATTGTTTTATAATGTGAAAAATCTCTTTCTAAATCCAAACTGCACCCTACATTGTTCAGATTCTCATGAGGCGGTGATTCTTTACCTCGCGCCGTTTTGAAGTTGAACACATGCGACTGTGTCAGACCACAATCTGAACGTGAGCCCAACTTGAATCCATTAATCCTGATGTTCTACAGCTCCCAGTCACATCTCCCTCCGCTTGTTGAGATGCTGTTGGATGCTCGGATCTTTGCTGATCTGTGATTGGTCTTACTGTAAACAAGGCAAACTAAAGATTTGTTATTGTTTATCTTAATATGCACAGCAATGTTTCATGTGAAAGTGGGTTAAAGAATTGGAGAGGAAAGACCTTTGGAGAAGAGTGCATTAAAGAGGAAAAATCTTATTTCAACAGTTGTTGAGGATTTATTTAACTGATTGCAGCATATACTGTTTTTTAAATGTTTTTATATGTAAGAATTATTTGTCAAATTAAGCCATAGTGTTTGTGTTTATATATGTATGTATGTGTGTTTGCTAGCTGATATACTAGAGTAGGACAGTTTTCACAGTGACAGGAGCTGAAAAATTACCTTTAGCAAAAGTTTCACGATGGAGTGACTATTACAGAGCCCCTCAGTCTGGAGAGTACAGCAAATCCACATTTCATCAAAGTACCTGAGCCTTGAGTGCAGCTTTACCATAAGGTTTAACACAGCTGAATACTGGCTAATGTCTCTGAGAATCGAGTCAGCCTCACACAGAATAAAATCTCAGGCTTTTTATGATTGTGAGGGAGCTCTCACTGATCAAAGTCAAGGCTGTAAAAGTTTTTTTAGTAGCCGTAATTTACAACTTGTGAAAGTCAAACGCCGGCTCCTTTGTCTGGAAGGGCATACCTGCTGGACCCAGTTCCTCGTATCCATCAGCAGTTTCCTTTGAACACAACAGCGCAGTGCAGATCACACAGATCTGCTGACAAAGTCCCCACCGTACTAACAGTTAGTTTTGTTGTGTTTTTTGACTCTACACTATCACAGAGGAGTAAAAAATACGTCAAAATTAATTCAAGAGTTTTAACAAAAGTACAAAACCGAATTTGTGTTCTAAAGCTTTTTAAATAAGTTACCCAAAGAGATGTCTGTGCATGAGAAGATGGCCTTCATTAGGATTATTATGCGCTTTCAGCTAATAAAAGTGGATGGTGACAGGATTTTTTCCATCTTGGAGAAAAAAAGAATAAGAGAAAAGTATAGCATAACTCTTATCTGTCAAACATGGTGAAAGCAGTGTGATGGGACTGACATGGATGAAAGTAGAAGTGGGCCACTAGTGTTTGCTGATGGAAGAAGCAGGAGGAATTTTGTGCCAAGGCAAAGAAGTAGGATGCTCTTCTATGGCCTGGTCACCTGATCTGATCGATTCTAGACTTCAGGGAGTTATTGATAACAAAGGATTTTCATCCAACTATTTAAAAAAGCTCCATATTTAAAATTATCCTTGTGAAGTCTGAACCATGAAATAATGGCCAGAAAATCCAATTTTTTGTTTAAAAAAAGTGTTTGTAGCTTATTCAGCTATTTCAAGTGTTTATTGAACCTTGCAATTTAGAGTGCAATTTATCACACTGATGATGTAGAGATATAAAACTCACCCAAAAGGGTGTCAAATATGACGCACTTGACCTGAGTCTCTCGAATTACTCCCGAACGTCTGAAGAAAATGACTGCACTTCCTGCACAGTTAATGCAGACATTTATTCTTGAGTTCAAGCTGAAAGTCATATAATCACATCTTGATCGACTGATTTAAAATCCATTATGGTGGTGTACAGAGGCAAAACTTTTGCTGGACAAATATATCAGTTTTCCCAAGTAGTGTTAGCTGAATCTTTAAAAATGTTGATTGGTGTTGAGTAATTTAGTTCACAATTTCAAAACGGCCGTTAAACTTTTTTTTAAAAAAAAGTCTGCAGGGAAATAAAAGTAAATAATTAAAGCACACAGCTACATTCACACATTGTTACCTGACGTGTCCTCGTGGTGACACCTGACACCTCAGGTGCGCCTTTAGCCCCGCCCTCCTGGCTGTACCTAGCTGAAGGAAAGTGGGAGAAACAAAGCAGCGTCGACTATTATTCCAGGATCCCTATCTATATGGTTAAAAGGAAAAACTGACCTCTCGACTCTTGGCGAGTTTTTTTTTCTTTTGCTCTCATTTGTTGTTCACAATGGACGATCCGTTTTTTAAGTCGTCGTTACCTGCGCCCGACTCCTCTGTGCTGGATGACACCAGCCTGGCTTTGCCGGCCGATCTGCGATCCTCAACGCAGCCCGATGAGGACCGGAACCAGCGGGTTCACCGGCAGGTTCAGCTCACAATGTCCAGGAAGTCTAAAAAGACTCAGTCAAATGGTAATGTTCATTTTGAAAATGAATCAGCATCATACTTTGACGCATTTGGGAGAAACCGGGTGCACTGTAAGCCAAGCTAATGAAGTAGTACTAATGAATGAAGTGAATGAGAGTGGTAGCAAAAATAACTTCCTCCCACTTTCCAAATCTAATATTTAAACTTTAGGATGTCAGGGACATGTACAGGTAGATTAGTGAACTATCAACTGTTTTACTGAATAATAATAACCAGAAACAATATTAATATGAATAATAATAATAGAAGTACAGAGTTTTTCCTCCTTTCCCACCCTGGTGGCTATGTTACCCTTTCAAAAGGGTTCAAGCTGGAAACCCCTAAAGTAAACTATGAAACCCCTTTCCTTTGCCAGACCCTGCTTTGTCTGTCCGGAGGCTGTGCTCTGCATTAAGGGGAGCTTACTAGAAGTCTAGTTAGTGTAAACACAGACATTTCTGTAAGTGGAATGCACACTTCCTAGTTAATCCTCTTGTCTAACAGGTTTCTGCAGTTCCCTAAAAGTGATAACTGCCAGAATTTTACTATGTCATCCACTGATGACCTTATTTATTAAGTATTGGTAGCCAAAAATAAAGAGGTCTTCTATTCAATTTTGACAACTATAAAAAAATTAAAAGTAATATTGCCTGTATCTGGACAGGTTTGGTTGAATTTATGAAGCATCACTGACTATTAAAAGGTTTGTTAGGTGTGTTTAGACGGATGGTTAACCACATGAGTCAACACTGCCCTGTAAATAAAAATGAAAGAATTTTTTTACTGGCTTCCCCTCAAGTCTTTACAGATTGCAGAGTGCTATTAAAGGGGATTACAAGACTTTTTATTATTTGCATTATTTATTTTGTGACTTCTTCTCCCTAAAATATTTCGTTGTTATAATGCACTGTCAACTCACTGCAAAAAGGTCCTGGGTTTGGATTCACCGGCCGGCCGAGTCCTTTCTTCTCGAGTTTGTGTGTTCTCCCTGTGGCTGTGTTAGGTGTTCCCACGGTCCAAAGACATTCATGTTAGGTTAACAGGCAATTCTAAATTTGCTGCAGGCGTTAATGTGACTGAATGGTTGTCTCTGTGTATGCGCCCTGTGATAGCCTGGTGATGGGTTCAGGGTGAGCACCACCACAACCCTGAATTTGATAAGAAGAAAAAGATGGATGGATTACATGTTTGTTTGTTTTTTTAAAAAAAGGAAAATCTCTGAACTGTTTTGTGTCTGCTGTCTTGTTTATTTTATTTATAGACTAGAAAATATTTAAACAACAGAAGTTTATCCAAAGTGATTTAGAGACAGGCACATTTACATTCCAGCTCTCCAAAAAACAACTTTCAAAATACATGAAAAGTGTGTGTCTGTGTGTGCATTTTAACTAAGTATTGTGGAAGGTAAAATTCACACATTTATTCATCATTAAAATATGCTCAGAATTTTCATATTATTATTTCAAAGTTACTATTACTCCGAATGTCTAGAAGACTGAGAGTCAACTGCTTTTAAAATGTTCCCTTATAATACTTAACGAAAAAACCCAACTAAAACTAAACATTTTCCAACAATTAAAAACTAAACTAAACAAGTAAATCCATCCCAACTTGAACTAAACCAAATTAAAAACGAAACACCAAATGGAAATAAAAACCAAACTAATTAGAAAATACAAACCTATAATAAGTCTGCTGTACGGTGTACATTTTAGGACATCGTCAGGTCTCAGGAAAAAAGTTGTCAGGTCTCAGTTCTCGGGAAAAAAAGTCGCCAGGTATCAGACAAAAAAATGTTAGGTCTCAGTTCTCAGGAAAAAAGTTGTCAGGTCTCAGTTCTCAGGAAAAAAGTTGTCAGGTCTCAGTTCTCAGGAAAAAAGTTGTCAGGTCTCAGTTCTCGGGAAAAAAAGTTGCCAGGTATCAGACAAAAAAATGTTTGGTCTCAGTTCTCAGGAAAAAAGTTGTCAGGTCTCAGACAAAAAAAATGCAAGGTCTCAGTTCTCAGGAAAAACGTCAGGTCTCAATGTCTGAGAACTGAGACCCGACTTTTTTCCTGAGACCTGACAATGTCCTAAAATGTACACTGTACTGCTGACATATCTGCTGCATTGTAATAATATATCTAGGAATTTTCTCTCCCAGAATCACAATAATCCCATGCACAGGGCACAAGTGGTCACTGATAATGATAAGTGAATAATGCTCTACTGCTGTGATAGTCACCAACTGGAAACCAGATGTTACACCTGCTCAGAGTTCAAGGACTTTTTCAATGATACATAATACAAATGTGCCTAATTTGTCATGAAACATTATTTAACAGATAGCATTTAATGTCCGATCCATTTAATCTCGCTGCTTTGCCATCTCTCTTCCATCTTCTTTTTAAATTAGATGCCATTTATTTTGCAGGTTGCACAGATGTCTGCTGTGCACCATGAGTGTGCACTGTCCTTTCAAAGCTGAGGAAACCAGAGTCGGAATCACGATCCAGATATGAGAACGCTAACAGGCATGGCGGGAATTATCATACGGACTAACCAAACCTCTTTGACTTGTTTCAGGTGGTGTCTGTTCACAGAAATATGAAACAGCGAGCTTAAATGATGCAGATGGAGTTTTAACGAACACGAAGGTAAGACTCTCCTTTATTTATTCTTATGCACCGCCACATGCACCCAAACATTTTGGGGACATTTGTCATCCTAATCGATCACTAGAATATTCATCTCGCTTCTGTTTTTTTAGAGCTAATACAGATCTGAAGTATGCAGATTCCTCCACAGATATTAAGCGCATTCAGCTCAGCATGCTTGCTTTAGTCGTCCCTGTACAGAATGATTACAAAAGGACAAACTACTTGAACTTGTGGCCTCATACTGTACTGCACTTTAAATATTGTACTCCATAATTTGAATACAGGCAAATGGTTCTCTGTGGTATCCTGCTGCTGCTTTATGCATGCTCACAGAACCCAAGTCTGTTGAATAATAAATCATTGTATTCTTTTCGTATCTTATCTGTTATGCAACAGTGTTTACTTTATGTGCGTGGATGCTTGAAGGAAAAAAAAAGCAATTTAATACTGAAAAAATAAAAAGCTCTTTTTGCCTTAGAAAGTAAAAGAAGGGTAAAAGGATAGATTATGTACAAAAACATGGACGTGCCCAGTTGTTGACAAGCATTAAGCGTTACAGCCATCGGCATCTTTGGTTGTTGGAGCCAAAAGTGAGTGTATTTGAACAAGAGCAAGTGCTACGTTACACACCAATGCTAAGTGTCATGCAAATAAAATACACTCAACAAAAATATAAACGCAACACCTTTGTTACTGCTCCCATTCCCCATGGGATGGACGTAGAG